GTATGTTTTTCTTCCACTTTAATGTCAGATGGTAGTCCCCACTCTGCACAGCAGCATAGTCTTGGAAAGTACCTCATGGCGGGAAACAGAGAATCCCCTTTCCTTTCCCTCCTTCCCATGAGCTCTGGTATCTCATCTGAAGTTACCTTTCCACTCTTAAATGACAGGTCTCCCTCTCTTCCTCTTTCTCAGAGGACGTAAATTGTGAACTTGTGAATGGGTTTGCCAGAGTTCAAAGCAACACAGCTTTAAAAGCTTCTAATGCACTAACTCATTTTGCAAAAGGAAGATAGTAGTGATCCTTTACATTTGTATCATTGTAATTCTTTCAAAATGCTTTTACGTGATGGTCTCAGTTGATCTCAGTATTTTAAGGCAGGCAAGATACATACAAATGATACAAATGACAGCTTGTCCTTATTGAGTGCCTAGGATGTGACAGGCTCTTTCCTAAATGCTGGACATTTATCTCATTTAATCCTCACTACAACCCTATATTAGGCAAGTATTAGTAACATTCCAATTTTGTGGGTAAAGAAACAACTGGAGTTTGGAAATAACTTATCGGGTCTTTTAAATGGTGGGAAGTGAAGGTAGAATCTGAACTCAGAAAGTCAGTCTCTAGAATTAATGTTTTCAAGGGAAAAATAAAAAGAGACAGCTAGGAAATTGGGGATAAAGAGATGCCACAGGATGAACTAAATCCTCCTATATAATAAAAGGCTAATATGCAAATTGACCGAACGGCAGAACGACTGGTCACTATGATGTGCACTGACCACCAGGGGGCAGACGCTCAATGCAGGAGCTGCCCCCTGGTGGTCAGTGCACTCCCACAGGGAGAGCGCCACTCAGACAGAAGCCAGGCTCACAGCTGGTGAGCCTCTCTCTCCCACCTCTGTGGCAGCACTAAGGATGTCCGACTGCTCCCCATGGGGACTGGCCTCAGCCGTCAGTGTTACATCCCCTGAGGGCTCCCGGATTGCAAGAGGGCACAGGCCAGGCTGAGGAACCACCCCCCCTCCCACCACCACCAGTGTACGAATTTCGTGCACCAGGCCTCTAGTTTAAGAATAAAAATACAACTTATGAATTTGAAAACTTGTAGAACTAAGTTTAAAAGATCAGTGATGCAATCTCTAAACAAGGCATTTATCTTTTTTAATTTGTTCATATTTTCAACCCTGATTTTGCTGCTTTTGGCCTCTTCTTGAAAACCTTATCTGCTTAGTAGTGTGTGTGCCCAGTGTGGTTAGTTTTATAGAGAAGTTACAAGCTAAAGGGAAACAAAGATGGGAGGTTTTTGCCTTTGACATGGACTTGCTACTTCCTTTGTCTTTTTCCCAATCTGAAAAACCCTCCTGCTTTTAGAGAATTCAGCATCTGACTTCCTTTCACTTGGAAGGTTAAACTTGCCTGCTTGGGAAAGAGTGGGTTAAAATAAATAAATACAAAGATGGGCTTTTGTTGTAAGCAAGCCCCGAATTCAAATCCTGAAGCTGAGAGGGCTTGGGTTATTGTCTGAACTTTTGCCCATGAAGACGAGCCGGGATGATCACACCCTAGGGTGTTTGTGAGGATTAGAGACAATATATGTACATGGCCCAGCATACAGTAGATGTAGAGAAACAACTGAGAAGAAGGAAGAAGGGGTTTGCTTGTTGCTCATTTACCTTGGGACCCTTCCCTGCTTTCCATGTGAGGGTTGCGGGGGCAAGCGGGGGGTGGGGGCGGTATTCTGAGAGCTGTGCAGGATGCTATGGGGCTGGCAAACTCTCAGAGGGACTATGAGTGAGCTCAATGTGGTCAACATATCTGGGAACCTGGAATATTTTACGGCTCAATATTCGCATAAGGGATGAAATTGAAGAGAGGATAAAAGGCAGCGCAGCCAGTGCTGACGTTGGTAAAGGTGAGTTCTCTGACCCCCGGTGTGCTTTGCCCATAATAAGGGCATTCATGGAAGGGTACCTGAATGAGGATTTGATAATGAAGGTGCTCCCCTTGTCCCTGTTCTCCTGACTCAGAGTGTCAGATTCAGCAATCTGCAAAGCTACTACAGAGCAACTTCTGGCCCCACCAAACTCCCTCCTCTGACTCCCAGCAAGCTTGCCCTCCCTCCCCTGCAAATGTCCCACCTCTATACAAATAATGTGGAGTAGAGTCCTTTCCATAAACTGCTATTTATGTTGAATCACTATTCAGCAAAATAAAGAACATGTAAGTTATTAATTACACTATCAGAGTGACAGTTGTCAAGTGTATATTAATTATTGCTCATGTAGCCTGCCCCCATGTTTTAGTTCTTTGCAAGCTAATGAATACCAAACACGTTCTTTATTTATGGCCAGGCAGAATGGCAAGAGCTGCTCAGGGGAAGAATCTTAAATCATATTCTCTTAGAGAATGAATGACCATAGACAAGTCACGTTTTCCAATTTCAGATTTGCTGTGTATGACGTGGGCCCAGCTCATCTCTTCCCAGAGGTCATATTTAGTGTGTAAAAGAAAATATCTGAAAGTGCTATGCAAATCTAGGGTCATGTGTAGACTGCAGATCAGTGTCTTCTCCCTATTCCAATCCATGTGTGCTGCTGTACAAAAGGAGCTCGTGTTAATAAATTCATTGTTGGAATCTTACTGTAGTTCCTTCTATTCATTAGGCTATGTTGTTGGGCAAAAGCTCCAAAATCTATTTCAGGTCAGTTCTGGGGAAAAAAAAACACACAACAAAACAGGGTGAAGGTGGAGAAACAAAAATAAAACAGCAGATTATGATAGAATTCATGTTAGGCATGAGATGCTGGTCACTGGCTCTTCTGTTGATTGTATTGATTTCCAGGAATCCTACAGCTGGTAGACAGCAGCTCTTTCCCCCCAAACTACAGAAGGCTTGTTTTCAAAATGATGTTCTTTTTCCATTCACAGCTGAATAAGGAAGTCATCTATCTTCCTGAAAACACCACTGTCACCCTATTACTCTTCTTCAGAAAAGCCTTCAGTGATTATCCATTAACTAGACATTGGAGTGTGATACTGACTTCACTCCGTCTCCCCACCTCCTGGTCACCACACCAGCACCACCTTATTTATCCCCTCTGCCTCCCATAAAGCCAGAGATGCCAGCTAGTTGGTTCCCTCCAGGTTCCCCAAGTAACTGCCCCTTCCTGCTAAGGGCCGTGCTCATCTTCCATCCTGAAATGGTGAGTTTCTCTGCCCTCTCTTTCTCACGTGTCATCTTTATCCTATCCGAGTCAGAGTCTCGCGTAAATCTTTTCCTTCATGAAGGTTTCGCCACCCAGAGGTCTCCCCTACACTTCTGCAGACCCTCTCTCCAGCTCAGCTGTCAGGGCACATCCTTATTTACAGCCCAACTCGGGAGATGACTCAGGTCTTATCTGGGGGCCAGAGCCTGTTCTGAGCAGCATTCTGTCGCCTCTCCATGGATATGCGAAAAGCAGGTGTGGGTGCCCATCATAAGCCTCAACAGACTATCTTTTGTGGGCTGTGTCCAGAAGGTGAGGTGCGACCCAGAACCATTGGCTTTGGCCACTGAGATAGGCCCACCCAGCTGCTCTGTAATGGGTGTCTATGTTTGTTTTGTTTGTGGGAGTAACTCAGTCAAAATAAAGGCAATTATACCTGAGAACTCCAGTTTGAAAGAGGGAGACTTATACACTGACACTAACATGGCAGTGTGTGTGCCAGGCACTGTGCCAAGCACCCGATGTGGATTATCTCATTGAATTCTTGCAAGGACCTGATACAGGTAGTACTATTATATGTAATCTCCACTTATAGTTGAGGAAGCACAAACTGAGTGAGAGTAAATAACTTGTCCAATGTCTAAGTATGTAGTAAAGTGATTTGAACAACATCATATCTGAGTCCAAAGCCTAGGTGGTTGCTGTTTTAAAATCTAGTCTGCACCAGTGTTTCTCAAAGTATGATGCCCAGAGCAGTAGCATCAGTGTCTCCTGGGAATTTATTAGAAATGTAAGTCCTGGGCCCCACCCAAGTCTTACTGAATCAGAAACTGCTGACATCAGTCTGGGCTGTCACAAGTCTTCCGGGCGGTGTATGCTCAAGTTTGAGTACTCTTGCTCTACACTAACCCTCCTATGAGAAGATGCCCTATAACCCAGCCTAGAACCCATATTGATATAGAAACATTACAAGATATCAATTATGTGTGGCCCTCTGACTGCCAGAGTCCCACCTGACATATCTGTGCCACCTGGCTCCTCATCAAGGCAGACCTGCAGTATGTCTGTGTATTGGAAAAGTAAGAGGAGGGAGTTTTTTAAAGTAAAACAAAAAGTGTTTAATTCCTTCAAGTCTTTCTTGATAAAATTTGGCACAGTCTGATTTTTGTTTCATTTGCTCGATGCTTATGTTGACCTGACCACTGGTTAATGTATTTTTGGTCATTTATTCCATCATTTATTCAACAAACATTTGTTGGTTGCCAAGGAGGTGACAGGCACAATATGAGGCACTTTTGTTTCAACAGTGAGTTAGAGACAAACCCAGTCGTCCTTCTCAGGGCCTACATAAACAGGCCATCACTACGAAGTGTGAAAAAGTGCTCCTTATGGTAAGATGAGGCACTTGGGGGAAACAGGGAGAGGCCCCTCTCCCAGATTTGTAGTCAGGGAAGGCTTCTGGAGGAGGTGAGGGTGCAGCTGAAGACCGAAGGAATAAATAGTAATTAGTCTAGTGAAGGGAGTGGAATGGTGGCCAGTGATATGGAAGAGTGCTGCAGCCGAGAGATCCACATGCAGGAAGACCTGCTGAAGACGGCAATCCTACCATGGCCGAAGCTCTGAGTGTAAGGTAGGGCGTGAAGGGAGATGAGGCAGGAGAGAAAGGCTGAAGACAGATGTGACCAGCCTTAGAGGCCTTGTAGAGGTTGAAATTTATCCTTAGGGAAATGAAGAGAAAATGATGTGAAGAAAATATATATTAGCAAGTTCACTCCAGTACAAATGTGGGCTTATTTTAATATAATTCTTTATTATTGTAGTGTATGTGTTATCACTATCGATGGACCATGAGCTCCTTGATCTTTTTCTTCGCCATCTTCCCTTTTGTCTGTGCAGTATCCACCCCACATTTTCCCGAGGCCAAGTAAGAACTCAGACTCCACCTGTGAGCTCCCAACCAGTCAGGCAGTGTGGTGGTTCATTTGCATGGCTTTTCTTTCCCACCAGCCGAAGTAGGTCACCTCCCAGAGATCTGGTCTCCCTTCAGCATTGTCTCCTGCTCTTGGCTGCAGGGTGTCTGTCCTTGTTGGTGACCGTCCAGCACACAGAGCGCTATGTCACCCTGTTTGCCTCTGTCATCCTCAAATGTGACTACACCACCTCTGCCCAGCTCCAGGACGTGGTCGTGACGTGGCGCTTCAAGTCCTTCTGCAAGGACCCCATCTTTGACTACTACTCTGCGTGTGAGTGTCCTCCCTCTCTGGCTCTGCCAGGGTCCCTTTGTGAAGTGTTGCCATTAGGGTGTAGGTAGGAATGACTTAGGATCACAAATCCTCATAAGTGAAAAGCCACAGAGGTCACTTATTCCAGCCCCCTCATTTTATAGTAAACGGAGCCCAAGCAGATAGAGTAACTAATTGAAGGTCACATACTGTTTTATTTATTTTAAAATGTATGTCCCACCTTGTTCTAAAAAGATTTAAGGCAGCCCAGACATTAAGAAAAAGGCAGAGCAAATTCTGCCTCCTAGTCTGAGCCAGCACGCTGAGATGAGGATGCAGATTTGCCTCTCATCACCCTGGTCTTAGAATGCTGACAAGAAAACTCCTGCACCTCCGGGATGCACGAGGAAGGGTCATTTGTGAACTTGTGCCCACTGCCAGATTCGATTCTGCAGCCCGCCTTCCTGGTGGACAGTCACTCCCCTGCTGACTAAACAGTGATACGGAGCTCACTGCCCCCAGGGAGTACACTTGTTGTTTGACATCTCTGAGATGCACAATTCCCCTATGTTTAGCCAAATCTGACCTCTAAGTGACAATTGGTTCTGCTGTCTGGAACCAAAGCTCTTCCTAGCTGCCCACCTCTGCCTCTCTCCAGGAACAAAGGAACCCAGATACCCACTGGCTCCCTTTAAATGGGATAATTAACCTTGTAGAAATTTTGGGAACAGAAGCAGACACCCTGTTGGAAGGAAGCAGATGAGCTCCCTAAGATGAAAAGAGGGGGAGGCATCAGCTTTACCTCTTTTAGTCCTACAAATGTCAATATGAACCCCAAAACCTGTCTGAGCCACCCATGGAGACTGATGCTGTCCCCAGAGACCCCTGTCTCTCTAAATTCAGGTATACTTTCGTGGGGGCGGTGGAGGGGATACTCTTAAAATGCCTGGGTTAAGTGGGGAGGTAGGGAAGATTAGGATAGTGGGCATTTGCCCCAGCAGATTTAACAGCTTTCAAACTTTGTATTGTAAGGGCCGGTGTATTATAAGGGAGCAGAGTCTGGGGCCGCTAAAAATGAGACACGGGAAGTTGGGATGGGAGTCAGTGGATGCATCCAGGACTTGATGGCCTATTGGGGGGATGCTGGAGTGTCAGGCTCAAAGTGTGGTTCATTGGTATCACTTGGGAGCTCATTAGAAATGCAGAATCTCTGCTTCTCACCCCAGACCCACAGAATCAGAATCTTCATGCGAACAAGATGCCCCGGGGACACAGAGGTTCATAGTGAGGGCACCTTTCTTCCTGGGAATTCCCCGTTGCTGTGTGACTTAGGCGTGTCCTCTCTCCACAGCATACCAGGCAGCTTTGTCCCTGGGCCAGGACCCTTCCAATGACTGCAATGACAGCCAGCGGGAGGTCCGCATCGTGGCCCAGAGGCGGGGGCAGAATGAACCTGTGCTGGGGGCGGATTACCGGCAGCGCAAGATCACCATCCAGAACCGTGAGTGGGTGCAGAGGTGCAGACACCAGGCTGAGTCATTGTGGGGGATTTCCCTTTTTCTCTGCTGCCTGATGATCTGCTTGCTCCCTGCCCTTGTTTGAGGAAAATGCCAGCTATGCTGGTACAGAATGTGCCACGACACTGGAAGTCACTTCCCTGGAAGCTGGTCTCTGGATGCGCTTTGGCTAATGGTGTAGGAGTGGATGGTTTCCTCTGTGTCCCTGAGATTCAGGGCTGAGGTGTGGACCAGGCTCCTTTGACCCTTCCATGAATTGCCCTCAGGGCCTGCTGGGACCCCAGGCTCCTGGGTTTCCCTCTGGCCGTGCCTGTTATACCCGTCTAAGGAAATAGAGCCTTCCAAGGAGATGCCCACCTTCAGACCAGCACCCTTCAGTGGTACAGAAAAGAACACTGGGCTTAGAATCCAAAACACCGGGCTGAGTGTCCCATTACTCCCACATGTTGGCTTAGTGACCGTGGCAGCTATGTTCTCTAGCTCCCGTTGCCTCATCTGCAAGATGGGCATAATGGGCTCTGTCTCCCCACACTGAAGTGAATATCAAATGTGATGTGTGAGAGTTAGGCTTAAAGCGTATCCTTTGCGGTGATTAGACTCAGGTGTGAGTTCCTTATAGGGCGTGTGAACTTGGGCAAGTCCCTTCAACATTTTTAGCCTCAATTTCTATAAAGTGAAACTTGCCACAGTACCTGGGGAGTTGTCAGGATCAAGGGAGATGATATGTATAAAGCACTTAGAAACAGAAAGTGTGTGCAGTGAACTTTAGTTATGATCACTCAGCATAACGTTGGGATGGTTGGGTTAGCACCCCACATTCCTATCTTATAATCCAGGATTGGTGTGATGGGTTATTGGCACAAAATTCAGAGCCTATTTTTGAGCTTTGTGTACTGTGTTAAGTAAACATTTGCTGGTTAAAAAGAAAAAAAAGGTGGGGGAAATACACCCAGCAGGCCACTCAGAATTCCCATAGCAACAACGTGAAGAAATCAGTTAATATTCTTTGACCATTTAAAGGTAGAGCATTTAAAGGGAGCCAGTTTAACAATTGCTTCCAACTTTGTTTCTAATACTTTGGCTGTAAAACTTATGTTTGATCCTTTGACATTCAACCTCTGGTTCCCCCAAGCCGTGTTCCGGGCTTTAGGGCACAACTGTACTTTTCCCGTCTTTAGGGGCATTCTCAAAGATTCGGGGTGGTTCCACTTTCTCCAGAGCTCGCAGAATTAGCTCTAATAAGTCTCTTTAATTAACAAGTCTCCTTTAAAGTTTTTGAAGGTCAAATGAAAGTCCCCAAAGGTGATAGTCCCTGCTTTTCTGTCTCTTTTTTTTCCTAATTTTGAGCAGTGCGGTCTGCTACCTCCATTCCCAAACAGCCACACTGGGTCAGACTCTGCTCTTTCTTACTCTCATGGGAAAGTGGCATTTCCCCTTGGTTTTATTTCTACCTTCAAGCTTGTGACATCTGGAGCCTTGTTTTCTGATACTTTTATGCTCGTGTCTGCATCATTTGTGATGAACCTGTCAAAATAGTTCTTGAATCATTTAAAATGCTAACATACTTGAATGCCCTCATTACTCTGACATCCCTAAAATAATCTTTATGTCTCTAATAAAAATTGGGGAAGATTTATAATACACATTAACCTCTGAGGGGGAATTTCCCCCAAAGCATTTTCACCATTCTTCCAAGTCTGTGGTAAGCTTGTTTCTAGGAAAGGTAGTGGGTTTGGAAAATTATGAGTAGGAAAATAATCATAGGGATTGACGTAGAAAGAGAAGGAAACAGAAGTCAAAGTTAGCTCCAATAGTGGGTGACCTTACATTTTTGTTTCATTTCCTCAATAAATATTTCTTGACAAACATATAAGAAAGAATTGCAGATATACAAATGGTTTCTAGACTTACTGTGGTGATCATTTCATATGTATATAAATGTTGAATGACTATGTCATACACCTGAAATTATTACAATATTGTATGCCAACTATAATTTAAAAAAAAGAATTGCAGATATGACTGTCAACTAAGCAGGAGCAAATCTGTAAAGTAAGGTCTTTAAGAATTTGAAGATGTCCTCTGGCACTTACTGTGGCTAAAATAATGGAGTCTTGGAGGCTGCCCTGATGCTCCGACTAGACTTTAAGCCCTTTTAGGACAGAGATGGGTCTTATTCCTCTTCACATCTCCCGCATTTCCTCTTGAAATCGTCCACACAGTGTCTAACATAGTGCTGAACCCATAAAAGGTCTTAGTGAGTCTGTGTTGCATTTGCTAATCTTGAACATCCCATTCATCTATCTTAGTGGGGGAGCACAGTGCTTGGTGTTCCTGATAACTGAAATTATTATTTTTTTAGTAACATTTACTCCTAAAACAATGGCATTTCATCCTTGCCTATTCAGGTTTATCTCATAACCTATTCCTTTAAGATCCAGAGATATCTGTTCACAGCTAGCAAGTGAACCAGGCTATGGCATTGTCTACCTAGTTTGGAGAGGATATGAGAACTTGGTGGTTAAGAGCACCAATAGTGAAGCAGAGAGACAGGGTTTGAACCTACCTCTGCTAAGCATTAGCTCTCTGTTATTAAGCCGGTTTCTTGGCCTCCTGGAAAAGGCTAAGGCCTGCTAAGCCTCTCGGTTTCTTCATCTGAAATGCAGCTAATAATGGTACCCACATATCAGGATTACAGTTGTGAATATGCAAAAGCCCCAAGTATTAGTGACTTAAACAATAAAGTTTATTTCTTCTCTTATATAAATTTGAAAGTCTATGGAACTAGTGTAGTAGTGGCTCTCTTCCATTAAGTCCTCAGGGCCCCAAGCTCCTTCCAACCCACCAAGAATATCATCATCGTCCTCATAGTCCAAGATGGCAGCCATCATATTTGCTTTCCAGATAACAGAGTAGAAGAAGAAATAAAGAACAACCCTGGCCAGTGTGGGTCAGTGGTTAGAGGGTCATTCCATGCACCAAAGGGTCACAAGTTCAGTTCCTGGTCAGGTTGTGGGTTCAATCCCCAGTCAAGCGCATATGTGAGGCAACCAATCAATGTTTCTCTCTCTCTCCTTCTCCATTACTCACTCGCTCTACAATCAATGGAAAAAAACAACAACACACATATCTTCAAGTAAGGATAAAAAAAAAAAAAGAGGAAATGAAGACAAAAGGGTAAAGGTGTCCCCAGACTGTTTTTAAGAAAGTTCTTGAGTTATGATGTAACACTTCTGCTTACACTCTATCCGCCCTGAGTCATATGTCCATGTCCGTCTGTAAGAGAGAATGAGAAATACTGACTTTATTCTGGATGACCTCATACATGACCAAAAATTCTATGACTCTGAGAGAAAGGGGGAATAGACTCTGGGAGACAAGTGGTAATCTCTACCTCACCCACTTGGAGAGTTGTAGTGGGAATTAAATGAGGTGATCTATACAAAACCCTTTCAAAATACCTCATAGGGCTCAATGACTGGTCAGTTCTACCTCCATTATACTGTTTGGAGAAAGAGGAGGGTCTCAATAAAGGAATTGAGGCCTTTCTCTGAACTATGAGGGGTCCACTTAAGATGTAGAAGGACAGTGCTAGGGTCTTGAATCTACAATAGGTCAGAAAGCATTTCCCTCTCTTTCAATCAGTGCACATTCTTCCTCCTTTCTTGCAGGAGCAGATCTGGTGATTAATGAAGTGATGTGGTGGGACCATGGAGTGTATTACTGCGCGATTGAGGCTCCAGGGGACACATCAGGTGACCCAGATAAGGAGGTGAAACTCATTGTCCTGCGTAAGTACTGCGGGAACTTTTTATTTATCTGCCCCACCATGACACTTTTTTCATACAGGGGAAAAAAAAAAAAAAAACAGAAACAAGCAAGGCCAGGTTGTTATTTTTGGATTGCCAACCTCTGAAGTTCTCTTACCAAAGCTAACCTTTTTTTTTTTCATTATATTGTTCAACCTTAATCTGTAGGTTGAGAGCTGTATTTGTTAGACCTCTAGGCTATTAGAACTGCCCCTGTATATTTAGTGTGACCCCTGCTTGGCTTCTCCCTTGCAGACTGGCTGACGGTGATCTTCATCATTCTGGGAGCCCTCCTCCTGCTCCTGCTGATTGGAGTGTGCTGGTGCCAGTGCTGTCCCCAATATTGCTGCTGCTACATCCGCTGCCCCTGCTGTCCCACCCGCTGCTGCTGCCCTGAGGAAGGTGAGAGGGGATGGACAAGCAGTGGGATGGCTTGCTGCTGGAGCCTGGTGCCCCAAACAGGTCAACTTCAAAACCATAGGCTCTTCCAGGTTCTCCTCCACAACTTTCTCCCATCACAGGCTCGGGGGTCTTTGGCCTCAGCCCAGAAAATGATCCTTGGGCAAGCTACAGAGTCAAGTGAGAGGACTTTCTTCCTGTCCTCATTTTAGCCTGCCTACGGCCTTCTTCAAATGGCTCTGCCTACTGAGAGCATTTCCTCCGTGGCTCTGTTATACCTGTGCTCCACTATTTGCTCTTAGCACTGACCTTGCTTAACATGAGGTCGCTGGAGAGAATTGTTTAAATGTAGCAGTGAGAGAGGAGGCCACTCCTTAGAGATGACTTGAAAAGAGTAGATCTGAGGAAAGAGGTGTTAGAGCAGTGGTTCTCAAACTTCAGCATCACCTCGAGGGCTTGTTAAAGCTTAATTGCTAGCCCTCACTGCCAGAGTTTTTTTATTTAATTGGTTTGGAGTGGGCCTGAGAATTTGCATTTCTCAAAAGTTCCCAGGTGATGTGATGCTCCTGGGCTAGAGCCACACTTTTAGAATTTCTGTGTTAAAGGAAGGGAAGAGGGAGCAGAAGAAGATCTTGCTTTCTTTGGGCTGACATTTGACTTTTTAAAACAGAATTATGGCCCTAACTGGTTTGGCTCAGTGGATAGAGCGTCAGTCTGCGGACAAAAGGTCCCAGGTTCGATTCCGGTGAAGGGCATGTACCTTGGTTGTGGGCACATCCCCAGTAGGAGGTGTGTAGGAGACAGCTGATCGATGTTTCTCTCTCATCGATGTTTCTAACTCTCTATCCCTCTCCCTTCCTCTCTGTAAAAAACCAATAAAATATATTAAAAAAAATAAAAAAATAAAACAGAATTATGACATGCCCTAAACAATTTGGCTACGGAATGCATGGTGAAGATAAAAGAAAAATAAATTATTCTACAATGATCTTTTCTTAGTAACTAGCTAGAATGGAATCAACTTCTTTAAATGGAAGTGGTATTTGTGTTTTAAAATAATATATCCTATTCCTGGTGATATCAGTAAAGTATTACATTTCTGAGGAAATTCCAGAAATTTTGGAATATGTAAAGACTAAGCACCCAGAGATAACCACTCTTATCCTTTTGGTCCATTTGAAAGGGAATTTTTTTTAAGGAATTGCTTCTTAAGATGGAAACAAAACTTAATCTACAATGTTGAGGTCAATGCTCTGAGTCTGGTTTCGAGGTTGATGTCTTACAGGAAAAGAGAACTAACCTTTATTGGCTGTTTGCTTTGTGTAGGCCCTTTGTACATATTTCCCCATTGAATCTTCACAACCCTAGAAGGCCAGTATCATCACTTTTGACAGATGAGGGGACTGAAGGTCAGAGAAGTCACACACATAGTGAGTAGCAGTGGTAGTACAGTGCTGTATCCATGTTCATCTGACTCACGAGAGCCTGAATTTCCCACCATGGAGAGACACCATGGAGAAGTCACTGTCACTGACATATTAATATGCAGGAAAAGATGAGAAAAACCCTCTCAAGGTGTCTTCTTAGCATCCCTAGGTCAGTGGGACACTCAAAATAAGCAGGACTGGGGAGAAACCCAGCATAAATGATAAATGTATCCACTGTCGGCTAATAAACAGGTTCTGGGGGAGAAGAGTTCCTCCTAAGTGGTTAGAGTTCATTTAGAAGAACTCGTAAAGTCAAGAAATGCAGGCCACAAGTAAAGGTCCCTAAACTTGAGCAGATGAGGTAAGTTCCGAAGTGAGTCACTAGGGCAGACTGTCCTGCGAAGTTTGGTGATGAGAGGAGATTATATGGAGGGGTCAGAAGTTGTTAAAGCTTTTGGATAGAGAAGGGTGTGTGTATGTGTGTGTATGACTATTTTTTGCTTGTTTTTAGAATGGGTAACCCTAAGCATATTTGTAGGCAAAGAACCAAGGCCTATGGAAAATAAGTAAAGTAAGATGATCAGTGAGGAGTGATGGAGCCAATGGGAGTGACACCAGGCTTACAGTGAAATGACTGCCTTTAGGAAAGACAGCCTGACCTCTGAAGAGAGAGAGGAAGTCATTATGATATGGACAATGATTAAAGTATAAGGGAGGAAGCTGGGAGAGCTCATATGTAGCAAGTAAAAATTCTAGACATGGCAGAGAGCTTCAAGAATGATGCCAGTGGTTCTTGAACTTCTCTGACCACAGCCAGTCTCCCCATCCTGCTCCTACTTTCTAGTGAGAGTTACTAGAGAACCAGAGAGGGAAAATATTAAAATGACACCACATTTCAGTAACTTGATAATTCATTCCGTACCAGTAAAGAACCCACAGTAGAACTTAAAGGTGAAAGCTATTGAAAGTGAACTTTATTTTTTCTGGGAGAACTGGAGAAACAAGTTTCATCTCTAGATGGTTTACTAACCCTCCTCCCCACAGAACCTCTGGGCACACCCAGCAGTAGGCCACAGGCCACAGTGGGAATCTCTGCTCTATGCCGTGCACCTCCTCACGGGTGAGGGATGTGAGGCCTGGTGAGACTTTTTCACAAGTACACAGTTTGTTAGTGGCAGAGCCTGGACTAGAACTAGGTCTCTTGGTTCATTGCCCAGGGTGGTTCCTCTTCCTCAACAAAGATGATGCCATCGGCTAAAAGTTCATGAGGAGGGGAAGGCATGAGACCTGGGGTATGTTTAAACTGCTGCTCTACAGGAGGGAAGCCAGGTCTATATATTAGTCAGGGAAAGTTAGGTTGGGAGGAAGGCTCTTTGAGGTCAGTTGCCTCACAATGCCGTCAGCTCTGGCAGTGTGGAGCTAGGATGCATGTGCTGGTGGTTCCCTAAAGCTGAGATGGTAAGAGTTCAAAGAGTGTGGGATTCTAGAAAGCTCCTGAGGATGTTACCAAAATGACTGGCCAGTCAAGTCATAGTGGACTGGTAGTATGGGAAAAAGTGAAAGGACTCTGTGATCATGGGTCAAAAGAGGGCAAAGAACAAGTTCTGGGAGAGTGGAGGGGATTGGTAAGGAACGGTAAGCAGTTACAAGCAAGTGCAGTTGGAGATCCTCATTAGGTGAGCAGCAGACCGGTAACTGAGTGCAGTTATAAGCAAGTCATTGATGCCCACTGACGATGCTGGCTGCAGAGGACAAGAAGCGTAGGTCTCTGGAGGAGGGGGAAGTGTTGAGGGTCATTCTATCAGGAAGGAGACATCTTAAAGATGGCACCCCGATGCCCACTGACGATGCTGGCTGCAGAGGACAAGAAGCATAGGTCTCTGGAGGAGGGGGAAGTGTTGAGGGTCATTTCTATCAGGAAGGAGACATCTTAAAGATGGCACCCCAGGTTTTCCTCAGAAAGGAAGGTGAACGTGCCTTTGGTGGTGTAGTTTCCCAGTATGTACATTTGTCTCTGATGAGATGTAAGGCAAAAGAAGCAACTTATAACAATTTATTAAAACAATGAGAGCCACTATCTGTCAATGATCATACATTAGGCACTTCATGTGAATATCTCATTTAACCTCAATAATCTTGTGAAATAGATACTATTCCCATCTCACAGATGAGGAGACTTGGCTCAGACCCTCTAAAACAGGGGTCCTCAAACTACGGCCCGCGGGCCACATGCGGCCCGCGGAAAACATTTATCCGGCCCGCCAGGTGTTTCTGCCGCCGCTGCCTGTCCTGCTTTGCAGCCGACTCGTCCCAGACCCGCAGTGTGCATGTGTGGAATGTCTGAGGGACAGTGAACTGGCCCCCTGTTTAAAAAGTTTGAGGACCTCTGCTCTAACCCCACTCAGAATCACACAGCCGGTACGTGCTGGGATTCCAGTTGAAGTCCATCTGACCCTCAAAGCCCATATTTAAGGAAACATATCTCCGAGGATCATATTTCTCGAAAGATTGTTGAGGATCCTCAGTAGTCAACTCTGATTTGACTCCCAGCATTAGAATAAAGAAGCTCGTTGAAAACACAGATTTTCTTGCCTTGCATTAGACTGAGGGAGGGTTTGTGGGGATTCAGGAGTCTGTATTTTTAACCAGTTCATTAAAGGTGACCAGGGCAGACTTTCCTCCATTGAGTTTCAGAGATAACTTTCTAGGAGACTTTTGAAGCTTTGCTGCTTTCTCCGTGTTTCTTATTTTACTAGAGGCCCGGTGCACGAAATTCGCGCACTTGCCGGGGGGTGTCCCTCAGCCCCGCCTGCACCCTCTCCCGTCTGGGACCCCTTGGGGGATGTCCGATTGCCGGGCCCACAGGTATCTGGCCTAAACCAGCAGTTGGATATCCCTCTCACAATCTAGGACTGCTGGCTCCCAACCACTCACCTGCCTGCCAGCCTGATCACCCTCTAACCACTCCCCTGCCAGCCTGATCGACACCTAACTGCTCCCCTGCCTGCCCAATCGTCCCCAACTGCCCTCCCCTGCCAGCCATCTTGTGACGACACAGGGGACGGCCATCTTATGTGAGGGTGTGATGATAAATTTGCATATTACCTCTTTATTATATAGAATTGCCTGTCTGATTCCTCATTAGGTGAGCAGCAGAAAACCCTCATAGTATAGACATCCCCATGGGGCTGTTTCCAGGAACAGGATGGCAAGGGAGAAGCTCAGAGGCTGTGTTTCCCATTCGCATCTCATTAGTTCCAGCGCATCAGGGAAGGGAGGAACCCTGAGGAAAAGGCGGTAGCAGCTAAGAAGGGAGCAGGTAGATGAATCTCTAGAGAATGTAAACATTTGATGGGAAAGCTCATGGAGGATCTGGAATGATCTCTAGGGAGTTATCTATGCAGGGGGTTCCATGAACTTAAAAAGTCCTTTGGAGAGCAAGGAGTAAGCCTAACTCTCCCTTTGCCTCCTATGAAATTGGGGGCATGGGGGAAGGAAGTGGCCAAAAGCGGGGAGCGGTATTATTTAGAGGAATCCAGGAGTCAATTAGAGGGTGGGGTGGTATATAGGGTTGTTCCCAATGGAATTAGATGTCCCTGGGCCTTGGAGGCAGAGACTAGTCTGGAGTGGGTTTTGAAAGTTGTGGAGCTGAGTTGGAGAAAAATAAAGTGGGGAGTTACTGCTGGGGAAGGGTTTTTTTGTTTGTTTCACAGAAATAAAGGAGTCTAGGGACTCAGTGGTTTGGCAGAAAGACTACAGGCTTGGGTGTCAGACACAGGGTCACACTCTGTCTCTGCCAGTCACCCACTGTTGGACTGTGAGCTAGGGAGGTAACCTCTGGGACCCCAACTTCCTCATCTGATCCCACATTGACGATTTCTCTGAGAAAAAAAATTCTCTGTGGACTAGTTAGCTTATGTAAAGTGGCAGGGCATTGTGTGTGCTGATGGTGGCTCTTGTAGGGAGCTGGGAGAGGCATCTGTTAGCAAAAAGGAGAGGAAAGTGCTGGGCTTATGGACTTGTCTTTGGAGGGTCCGGAGTGCTGTCTGTTGGCTTGAAAGTGTGGCAACTGGGTGAGTTGCTATTAGTTTGCATCTGATTTCCTCCAGGCTGGGCTATGACTCACCATTAGGGCTGGAGCTCCAGACATTTTGGGGGGCTCTGCTGCAACCACATCCTGTTGTGCTGGAAGTTTATTTTACACTGGAGCCACTGGGTAGCTGTCCAGGTGGCCCCTTAACTGCTGGCCTCAACAAATCACCCACCCTGTGCAGCTGGGTCCAGAAGGCCTGCCTTCTCTTCCCTCCTCCTGTGGCAGGAGGAAGCCTCAGGAGAGCCTGCTGCTTGGGGTGAGGGGGTGAGGTGACACAGGGCTTGGGGAACCAAGAGGAGGTGAGAGTGCTGCTGGGAGCCTGGGGCAGGCAGTTCCTTCACTCAAACACACAAGTACATTTTCTACATGCGTGGATGGACAGGGACTTTGGGAGATGTGGCACTCGTCAAAATTACCTCAAAATAGAAATTCATGAGCAAAACCAACTACATGCTTTTGTTTTTAACATACACTCATTGTGGGTTAGCTGCACCTTGGGGACTGGAATGACATTTCCATGGATCCCTTGTGCTGCTTTTTTATGTTCTTTTCTTTGCCCTGAAAGGAAATGGTATTTCCCTTCTCCCTTCTCTGCCTCCACCCCACCTCTGAGAGATTCTCCCTGCTTGGGGAAAACCTCAACACTTAGCAAAGTGAGGAGAAGAGTACAGAAGGTCCACTGGATCCACTCCAGCTTTTTGCGTTCTCTTGCCTTCCTCCCACTGGTTTTCTCCAACCAGGGCTGGCGTACTAGCTAGAAAGATTCTTTACCAGTAATTCTGCCCATTGACCTCAGCATCTACGTCCTTCTCTTTTTCCACTCTGAGCAGGCAGCTCTGAGCTTCCCTGGCCGCCCCTGACTCATAGCCTCCTCTAAACTGTTTGCATGTGTACCTTCTATATTTGGCCTGTGACTGACGGCCTTGTTGGCTTGTGGCCTGAGATTTCACTGCCTGCTTATTACCCATGTATATCCCTGCACATTATAGTTGACCTTGGGAATGGGCAGGGTGATGAAATGTTTCTGAGACTAGGAAGTCAATTTTAAGGGTATAATCCTGGGGTGTGGGATTCCTACTCTTGCCTATGGAATTTATTCCCAGTTCCTCTCTTACCTCTTACTCCCATGCAAGATAGGTCATAGTGAACTTTGAGGAGAGAAACTGGCCTCTTGGCAAGGCCACTTAGATGGAGAGAAGTGAAGTGGGAGGTGTGGGCCTTTCCCTGGCTGAGGGTCTGCATTTCTCCTTTTTCCCCTGCAGCCCTGGCCCGCCACCGCTACATGAAGCAGGCTCAGGCCCTAGGCCCTCAGATGATGGAAAAACCCCTATACTGGGGGGCGGACAGGAGCTCTCAGTTTTCATCTTATCCAATGAACCAGCTGCTTCAGCGAGGTAAACTTTGCCAGAGACTTAGGGTGGGAGAGGGAAGAGGGCAAGAGTAGGAGCACGGGCTACCTCAGGGCTTTCCTGACCAATATGGTGGGTATCTTTATGACTGAGGATGGGAGGGGATGCATGCAAACTAAATAATGTGGCATGTTGGTGCCCTGATTCTGAGGAGCATTCTGTGAGCCAGCTTTTCTGCATGTTCTTATCCTTGTTTCCATACAGATTTGTCCCTGCGATCCAGCCTCCCACAAATGCCAATGACCCAGCCCACCAATCACCCTCCCATCACTAACGGCGTCCTAGAGTATTTGGAGAAAGAGCTGCGGAACCTCAACCCAGCCCAGCCCCTACCCCCTAACCTCAAAGCCATATCTGGCCAACCCTGCAGTATGCTGTCCTCCTTGGGCTCTGAGGTCGTGGAACGCAGAATCATCCGCCTGCCCCCACTGAGAGACCTGCCATCTTCTCTGATGACCAGCAACTCCTCCCACCAGCATTGGCTCGCTCCAATTCCCCCTGGAGCCTGGGATCTGAGGGAGGAGAGGAGGCAGCACCACCACTCTGGTTTCCACCAGGAGCTGCAGGACCGGCAGCCTCGGCGCTGGGCGTTGGAAGGAAGGGAGCTGGACCAGCTTCGGAGTGGAAGGCACCGCAGCTCCAGGCCGAACACATCATCCAGGCCCTGGTCAGACAGGGATAGCCTCAGCGATGTCCCTTCGTCCAGTGAGGACCGCTGGCGGTTCACGCACCTGCCTCTCAGGAGCCGCTACCCAGACAGACCCCACAGGCCCAGCCCCCGGGAGAGCGTGCACAGGCACCAGAGGCGCAGGCCCCGCAGCTACTCCCCTCCCCTGCCCTCAGGCCTCAGTTCTTGGAGCTCGGAGGAGGAGAAGGAGAGGCAACCCCGGAACTGGGGGGCCCACCGACGCCGCTCCCACTCCCCAAACTGGCCTGAGGAGAAGCCGCCCAGCTACCGCTCACTGGATGTCATCCCAGGCAAGAATGGCAGGAAAAAAGGGAATGTGGAGAGGCGCTCGGTGAGCCTGGGGCATCCTGCTGAGGGTAGGGCATGGGCAGAAAGGACCCTTCAGCCAGGCTTGGCCACACCTGACACAGGCCACCGCTGAGGGTACCTCTTCCCTGTTTTGCACGGCGAGCCCTGTGGGCTCGGTGAGACACCTCTTATAAGCTAGAAGGGACCTAGTGAGTCCCGAGGGTGGGGGAGGTGCTGGATGTTTACAGAGGGCTTTCTCACCCTCAGGTCCCCCCATTTCACAGGTGAGGAAGTGAGGCTCAGAATCATTAAGCTCCAAGTGAGTAGTGGGGCTAGGACTTGAACACTGGTCTTGATGGCTAAGGCTTTTACTTCCTGTCACAGCTGCTTTGCTTTACTTAGCAACTGTATTTCCATACCCCAAATTAGAACACCTGGCCCGACAGAGGATGTATGTGCCACTCTGGGTGCCTCACGTCAGTGTGTAAGACAGTGTTGTGGTCAAGGAGAGGCCTCTGAGCCTTCCCCTGCCACCTTCCTGGGAAAGGACCATTGGACAGATTTGGAGATATATATATACATATACACACTTTAGAATTCAGAGAACAGGCAGGGTTGCCACGAGGTATGAGGGAGCTTTCCAGCCTAAAAGGGATACAAAGGGATTGATGTAGGCCTTTTGGGGCGTCTGAATAAGACCTTATATATACATACACACACACACACACACATATATATATATACATATACATATACACACTTTAGGATTCAGTGAACAGGCAGGGTTGCCACGAGGTATGAGGGAGCTTTCCAGCCTAAAAGGGATACAAAGGGATTGATGTAGGCCTTTTGGGGCGTCTGAATAAGACCTTTTTTTAAAAAAAAAAAAAAGTGACTTTGAAAACGTATTTTATAATTAATATTCCCAAATTGTGGTATTCTTTTAGTGTTGTTACTTTGCAAAGTTAAGCTGTCACTGCTCAAAAAATATTCCTGAACTCCCTTCAGAACTGACTTAGAAGCTACCCACAAAAATATATTTCTCTTTTGACCAGAATCTTTTCCTGTTTCAATTCTGTTGAGATAAAGGGATATGGAGTAAGCTCCGAGAGAAGTTGCCAGAGTAGAGGGCTATTACAGGAACAAGAGTTTTAGTCTCTCACACACACTGAAGGATTCAACTCTCACTTGGAAATGCATGTTCTGCTGTAATTGGTTTAAAATCCAGTCACATGCATGGAGTGTGCAAAGGAGCAGGCACCTTGCGAGAGCCACAGTGCTGGTCTTTCTAGGGGAGGACTTTGGTCAGAGAGTGAGGAAGGTAGCAAAGGCCTGCAGGCATTGCTGAAATAATCAGTGACAATTATGTCATACTCTCACAGATGTCCCATGAGAGAGGCAACGACCAGTAATAATGAAAATTAGTAGTATCCTAAGTGATACGGAGCTCTGGACATCTATGCTACATCTCTTTTCATCCTTATAACCCCCTGTGAGATTGGTACTACTGTCTTCATTTTACATTGGATACAACTCTTCCTTCCATGTTACTAGTAAGAAAATTACATCCTGAAAGAAAACACAGAGTGTGTTAGAGCTGGGACAACTGCTGTTACTTCAATTAGATAGTGACTAAACTGTCTCTCAACTTCATTTCAGCAAAGAAATGCAATTTCAGAGCCAGTTTTTGGCCCCAAATCCAAACCCCATTTTCTTTTAAGTATCTTCTTGTCTTTATTTTCTTCTCTTTAAGTGAAATTATGAGGTTTCTTGTAAGTTAGAGAAAGGTAAAAGAAATACCAATTATGTTCCAGATACTGGGGTAAGCCCTTTTCAATGCTTATTTCATACTAGAGGCCCGATGCATGAAATTCGTGCTAGGGGCTCGGCCTGCACGGCCCCAGCTGCCTCGCGGCCCTGCGACCCCGCTGCCCCCGCCTACTGGTCATTCCAGAAGGTCATTCTGGAAAGTACTTCAATTAGATAGTGACTAAACTGTCTCTCAACTTCCTTTCAGCAAAGAAATGCAATTTCAAAGTTTTTGGCCCCAAATCCAAACCCCATTTTTTTTAAGTATCTTATTGTCTTTATTTTCTTCTCTTTAAGTGAAATTATGAGGTTTCTTGTAAGTTAGAGAAAGGTAAAAGAAATACCAATTGTGTTCCAGATACTGGGGTAAGCCCTTTTCAATGCTTATTTCATACTAGAGGCCCGATGCACGAAATTCGTGCAAGGGGCTCGGCCTGCACGGCCCCAGCTGCCTCGCGGCCCTGCGACCCCGCTGCCCCCACCTACTGGTCATTCCAGAAGGTCATTCTGGAAAGTCATTCCAGAAGGTTGTTCCACCGTCCAGTCTAATTAACATATTAGCTCTTTATTATATAGGGCTAGAGGCCCAATGCACGAAATTCAAGCAAGAATAGGCCTTCCTTCCCCCGGCTGCCAGCACCGGCTTCCCTCTGGCACCCAGGACCCAGGCTTCCCTCACAGCCCCGGCTTCGTCCAGAAGGACTTCCAATCTAATTAGCATATTACACTGTTATTATTATAGATAATTCTTGAAAAGCTCTTTGAGGCTCAGTGAGATTAAGGAACATGTCCAAAGTCACACCATCAGTAGGGAGTGAAGCCAGAATTAGAACAGTCTCTGACTCTCAGACCTGTGCCCTTTTCAGTCATGTTGTGTGCGGCAGTCATGTTTTCTGATGATAATATTTCTTCATTTTCTGAAAGCTTCCTTTATCATCCAGATATACACACCAATAATCCAGATGTACCCCCAAGCAACCTATATTTTTTATTATGAACTTACCGGTGAGAGGCAGAGATTTCACGGAAGGTCATTTTAAAAGCCTTCATTGTTTTGGATGCCTCTGAGTTTATCTCCCAAAGAGCTATCACTTTACTTTAATCACCTCCCACTGTCCACTCATAGTCTGAATGATCAGAGGCCCAGGACCGAAACTTGATTTGGAAGATTGGTTGGTCTAAAGGGCACAGTGTTTTGAATGTAACTTGAATTTTGAATGCCTTTAGTGGGACCAAAGTCTGTTTCTTTTCTCCTCTGCTCAGTGGGGCTGGATGCTTTCCACACACCTCCCCGGCCTCTGAAGTCTTTGGAGCTTGCAGCTAACTTCAGAAGTTATAATACAATTGGGCCACTAGATGGTGATCTTTGATTATGTATAACGTGGAGGTTTGTTTACTCCTTGAGTTGATAAGATTTATTACTGTTTTTTCAAACCAAGCTTTCAACAGTTATCTTTCACCATAACTTTTTTACAAAATACTTATTAAAAATACTTCGTTAATATTTGGAGCAATATAAATTTTTAAAAATCTTTTGGTGCACATGGAATCTTCTCTCTCAAGAATAATGTGTAACAAGTAGATACCAACAGACAAGGGTTTTCATGTACATGATCACATGGGAATGCAAAACAGGTAAGAACCATTCTCTGCACAGTGTCCAAGAGAAAAGGGAAGTTCTGTTGAGGAATCTCCCACTTGACACCAGAACTAGGGCACTAGCTGAGATCTCGTTTTAGGTCTGCTGATCTTTTTACTCCACCAAAGGCTGCAACCTCAGAAATATGAGAAGCAACAGTGACACAGAGCTTTAAAACCCACTGGTTTCAGACTGAGTGGCCCCTAGGCTCTGGTCTCCTTCAAACTGATTATCATTCTTTTCTATCCACCCTATCAGAAAGCCACTTCCGGTTTGTTCCGAACTTGGCCTGTACGTACTCATTCTAAAACCTGTTCTAAGAGAAAACTAATGCATCCTTTCCTCTCTAAGCTAAACTCAAACTTTCTATAGAGAATCCAGGATTGTTTTTTTTTTGACTCTTTGACTTAATGAAAAAAAACACCACTTTTTTTAGAGCAGGATATTTCATCTTCTCCTTACAAGGAATGTCTATTCCTTGATAATGTCTAGATTTTTCTATAGCAAACCCTGGAAAAGTTCCCTTTGTGCCACTTTGTTGCTTTCCTTTGTGTCAGAGAGCATTCATCCCATAGCTTTTTAATTAGAAACCACGTGCCTAAAACTCACTTTTCTGACAAACTGGAAACACAAAATTTCTAAGAGTAGCAACATACATAAACAATGCATTTTGAACAATATATTTTGGGACAGATACCGTATCTTGCCATTTCAAATAAGATAAGAAAGGTAACATTCATGTACTACAGCTGTAAATACTCAAAACCTAGATAAAACAATCCCCTACCATACAAAGTTAGAGAAAGATGAGGAATGTAAACCATCGTCCTTGACCTTATAGAGCAAGTTGAAAAAGACAAAAGACCAAGAGAAGTTGTGTCTGAAGAAAAGCCGCTGAGTTTGGTCAGGAAGAGGTAATTAGTTGATCTTTGAAAAATAACTTCAGAGAAATACTAAAATATGAAGCTAAACTTTTTAGACAAGGGTTGAGAATAGTTCAGGAGTATATACATAAGAAAGGGAGACCGGGCCATGTCATCATGAACGAATGGGGGAGAGACTGATGAATGGAACAAGGTACCTTTTTTCTTCAGTCTAAGGGAGGCTTGAAGATGTTAAACATAAAAAAGGTAGAGTGAATGAGACTTCAAGAAATTTTCAGAAATTAAAGATGTTTGGGGAGGCTCAAGAGAGGTAGGAAAGAAGAGAAACCTAACCCAGGAAGAAAGTCTGGCTTCATGAAGAGTTACATATTTTTTGGATTCAGATCTGCTGTCCCAGCAGCCGCCACTCACCTAGATTTTCACCTAAATCAAAACCACCTTGTGTATTGTATGCATAGAAAACAAAACCCAGCTGAGTGGGTCTTTCTGTTCTATTCCTCAGGAGAAAGACAGCTCCCATAGTGGAAGGAGTGTGGTCATTTAGTCACCGGACGCGGCACTACTTCTGTGGTGACTCTCGGCTCCTGCACATCATCGGTATCACCTACACTTCCAGGTGACTTGGGAAGGACACTGCAAGTCTGTATCTTACAAATTTTGGCTTAAATTCTGAGAATCAAATAGAAGAATTTTAAAAGCAAGAGTTTTAGGAATTAATGACTTAGTTTCAGACTTGGTTCACACTCTCTGAATATTTAGACAGTCTCTGACTTGTAATGGGCCCAAGTGAGATGTGATTCCTCAAGAACTTAATTGCCTGAGCCCTCAACTAGGTTACACTACTCAGAACCATGGCCATTCTCAAAGTGAGAACTCAGGAATCTTTAAGAAAAAAGTCAAACGTTTCAGGAGCAGGAAATCTATGGAGTACAATAGGATAATTTCCATGGGCACTTCTCTCACTCTGTAGCATATCTAGAGGGTCCCTCCCGCCTTGCTGCCCCCGTGCCTGGTCCCAAGTGCCCATGAGGGCCCAGTAAGAGATGGCACAGGGAATACTCCCAACAGTGTGCTCTCTTATGAGCCATTTATTCCAAGTGTAGCAGAGAAGCAGTTTTGTACCAGCTTGTTTTCCTTTTGTTCATTTTATGTTTTTGCTTATATCTAATTTATATTTTTGTATATGGTATGTAGCCATTAAAATTGCTTTAAATGTTTCTTGGGAACAACAGAGTATATAAATAAGAAGGAAATAAAGATGTACTGGCGTGAGGATTCTGCCCCAAATAAATACCTACTTTGGTGCATTTGACTGGATTAAGCCTTCTTCCCGACTAAAGCTCAGAGAAGAGCCAGGCCAACCTGAGGAATTCTGGAGCCGCCTTTCTCCTGGCACCACTCAGTCTTCACAAGCAGAACCTTCCAGGCATGTTTTGCCACTCAGAACCCCCGAAGGAGGGGCTGCACCTTCTCTATAGTAAGCTCTACCACTCCCTCCTATTTTCCCCAAGACCCTTGGTGGCTTCATGAATCCATTTGTGCTTGATGTAGAGACCCTCCTTAAAAAGACTGGAAGGATATGGCCTGTGTGTGTGTGTGTGTGTGTGTGTGTGTGTGTTCCTCAACAGTATCTTTATGTGTATGGCTCCAAGCTCTATGTACATCCTATTGTGTGGACATAACCATCCCCCTCCCCCCAGTCTCGTTAATTATATGTTGGAAAAATAAGCTAAATGCCAGCTTCGGGCAAAGGTGTCTTTGGTATTTTTTATTTCCATAATGTAATTGAGTGTAAATTAGCAGAAAAAATTGAAATTTTAATAGGTAATAAATACATCAAATTCAGTAGATGAGGGACTTCTGTTCAGGGCAAGATGGCATAGATTTTTTTCCCTGCTCCTTCTTGCTTAGTACAGCTCTATAAATCCTGAAAGTGGCACAAGAAACAAGCAAAGGAAAACTCTGAATGGTGCTAAAAAGAAGACAAGCTGGTTTGGGAACTCAGGACCAGAAGAACAACACAAAGGCAGGTCATCTTGTGTCCCTTGATCAATAGAAGATGGCCACCCAAACTTGGCATTCTCTGACTTTCCATCTAGCAATAAAAGGTATCTCAGCTCATTCGTCCCCCTGGATCCAGTAGAAGACCCTCTGACGACTTCTGGGGAAGCAGCTGGGAGCCTCGCCAAAAACAGGGTATGCATTTTCCTTCCCTGCTGGGTCTGAGAATCCTCTTTTCCATGGAGAGATACTGAGGTAGGTAGGAGGAACCAGTAAGAGTGAACCAAGGAAAGCAGCTGGCCCAACTGGGAGAGTCTCTGTTCCCAAGGAATGGAGACTTTCCTCCCCTGCTCAATAGTAATGTGGAGATGATGGAGGGTAGACTTAGTGACCTCGAGGTCTGTTCCCAAGGAATGGAGACTTTCCTCCCCTGCTCAGAGACACAAGGGCTGACTGGTGGAACCAGAAAAAATGCACCTGTCTGTTAGAAGCCCTGTAGCTACCAGCCTGGTCCCAGAAGCCACTTTGCCTCCATGGAACTGAGACTCTCATCCCTGGCTGAGAAACCTGTATAGCTGGAGGGTACCAATAGAAGGATTTCTCTACACCCCTCCCTCACCAAGATATACTAGTATCTGGCAATCCAGTCAGAGAAAATTCCTCCCACACACTCAGCATTAACAGAGACCAGCACAAGCCCCAGCAGCATTGGGTACATCAGACAGACCAAATAACACCACAAAGACTCTGAAAATGAAACTGCCATGGGGATGTACAAGAGTAAGCTAATAATCATATGCTAAACCTAAGTAAAGTACCTCTCTGTAAAGTAAAATATTTAAGTAGGACCCAGAGTATCTGAATGTGATAGACAAAATGTCCAGGATACCAAGAAAATCACAACTTAAATGAAATCAACTGATGCCAACACTAAAATAAATTAAATGTTAGAGTTATCTGATAAGAATTAGAAGGCTGACATTATAAAATGCTACAATTACAAATTCTCTTAAAACAAATGAAAAATAGAAAATCTCCCAAAAGAAATAGAAGTTATAAAAAAGAAATAGAAATTATAGAACTGAAAAATACAATAGAAATAAAAACTCACTGGGTTGCCCTGGCCAGTTTGTTCAGTGGTTAGAGCATCTGCCCATAGACCAAAGGTTTTCAGGTTCAATTCCTAGTCAAGGGAATTGGTTCAGGTTCGATCCCTAGCCGAGGGAACCAATTGATGTGTCTTTCTCATGTCAATATTTCTCTCTCTCTCTCTCTCTCTTCCTGCCTCTTCCCTCCCTTCTACTCTCTCTAAAAATCAATGGAAAAAATATCCTCAGGTGAGGATTAAAAAAACAAAAACAAAAACCTTGTTGGATGGGCTCAATAGTAATGTGGAGATGATGGAGGATAGACTTAGTGACCTCGAGAACAGAACAATAGATTTCACCCAATTTGACCAATAGAGAGAAAATAGACTAGAAAAAGAAAAGAACAGAGCCTCTGGGACAAAAAAATATCCAACATTTATATTATTGGTGTCTTAGAAAGTAGAGAAGAAAGAGTGGGGATGAATGAGCATTTGAAGAAATAATGGCTGAAAACTTCTCAAATTTGATGAATGATATCAACCTAGAGAGCCAAGAAGTGGAATTAACTCTAAACAGGATAAACCCAAAGAATTCATGCCAAGACATATAAGTTTTTGAAAACTAAAGACAAAAAATACTGAAAGCAGCCAGGGAAAACCAATACATTCCTTGTAGGGAAACACCAATTTCAATGGATTTCTTATGTGAAATCAAAAATATCCTCAGGTGAGGATTAAAAAAACAAAAACAAAAACCTTGTTGGATGGGCTCAATAGTAATGTGGAGATGATGGAGGATAGACTTAGTGACCTCGAGAACAGAACAATAGATTTCACCCAATTTGACCAATAGAGAGAAAATAGACTAGAAAAAGAAAAGAACAGAGCCTCTGGGACAAAAAAATATCCAACATTTATATTATTGGTGTCTTAGAAAGTAGAGAAGAAAGAGTGGGGATGAATGAGCATTTGAAGAAATAATGGCTGAAAACTTCTCAAATTTGATGAATGATATCAACCTAGAGAGCCAAGAAGTGGAATTAACTCTAAACAGGATAAACCCAAAGAATTCATGCGAAGACATATAAGTTTTTGAAAACTAAAGACAAGAAAAACATACTGAAAGTAGCCAGAGCCTCTTCCCTCCCTTCTACTCTCTCTAAAAATCAATGGAAAAAATATCCTCAGGTGAGGATTAAAAAAACAAAAACAAAAACCTTGTTGGATGGGCTCAATAGTAATGTGGAGATGATGGAGGATAGACTTAGTGACCTCGAGAACAGAACAATAGATTTCACCCAATTTGACCAATAGAGAGAAAATAGACTAGAAAAAGAAAAGAACAGAGCCTTAGGACCTCTGGGGAAAAAAATATCCAACATTTATATCATTGGTGTCTTAGAAAGTAGAGAAGAGCGGGGATGAATGAGCATTTGAAGAAATAATGGCTGAAAACTTCTCAAATTTGATGAATGATATCAACCTAGAGAGCCAAGAAGTGGAATTAACTCTAAACAGGATAAACCCAAAGAATTCATGCGAAGACATATAAGTTTTTGAAAACTAAAGACAAGAAAAACATACTGAAAGTAGCCAGAGAAAACCAATACATTCCTTGTAGGGAAACACCAATTTCGATGGATTTCTTATGTGAAATCATGAAGGAAAGATGACAAAATATTTTTAAGTGCTAAATGAAAAGAAATGGTGACCTACAGTTCTATATCTAGCAAAATTATCAGAATGAAGGGAAAATAAAAACACAGATGAATGAAAATTAAAAGATTTTGTGACTAGCAAAACTACCCTTGAAAGGTTGGCTAAAGGAAATTCTTCAAAAAGAAGGAAACTTTGAGCACCAGGAAGCAAAAAGAAACAATAGAAAGAGCAGAAGCATGAGTCCATACAATAGACAATTCTTTTCCTTATGGATTTTATGTCATATTCAAATATTAAAACAAAAATTATAATACCATCTAATATTCTAAACAATGAAATTTAAAGGTGAGAATGTAAAGGGACCTAAATGGAAGTGAAGTTTCAATACTTCATTTGAAGTGGTAAATGCTGATACCAGCACATAATTATAAATAGCACCCAGAGCAATTACTATGAAAAATATACAGAGACAAATTCAAAAGTGCTATAAAAAAAATCAAATAATCCATACAAGTAATCTGCAGAAAGATAAAGAAAGAGATAACAGAACAAGAACCAAAAGAAACATATGGAAAATAAATGATAAAATAGCATCCTAAAGTGCAAACATATCAATAATTAACTTGAACGTAAGTGGTCTAAATACACCAATCAAAGCACAGAGATTGGCAGAGTAGATTAAAAAATCAAACCCACTCAACTATATGCTGCATATAAGAAACTCATTTCAAATTCATACACTGGTAGGTTGAAAGTAAAAAGATGGGGATTAATATTTCATAAAGTAGACTGCAAAGAAAATTACCAGAGACCAAAAGGGACATTATCTAATGAATCAAAAAGGATCAATCTTCTAGGAAGACAGAATATACTAATGTGTAAAAATTAAACCACAAAGCCTCAAATACATGTAGCAACAACTGATAAAGCTGAAAGAAGAAAGAGAAATCTATGATCATAGTTGGAAATGTTAACACCTCTTCCGTCCAGCAACTCCTAGAACTATTAGGCAAAATATCACAAGGATATAGATTATCTGAATGACAAAATCAACAGGATCTAATTAACATATGTAACAGATCATCCAACAATAGCAGAATACATTTTTTCTCAATTGCCTGTAGAACATTTATCAAATAGAAAGAAAAAAAAAACAACGTAAAACAAACCTTGACAAATGTAGAATAATTGAAATTACACAGTGTGAGCTTTGACTATAATGGAATCAAACTGGAAATCTATAACAAAGACAACAGGAAACTCTCAAAACACTTGGAAATTAAACAACACATAATTAAAGGTCAAAGAAATCTCAAAGGAAATAATGGCACCTGGTGGGAGCGGGGGACCTCAGGCCGTGCCCCCCGTCCAGCAGGGCTTGACAGGGGATCTCAGCTCGCGCCCCCTGCCCTGGTGCCGGGGCAGGGCAGGAAGAGATTAACCAAAGATTTTATATGCATATTAGAGGCCCAGTGCACAGATTCATGTACGGTGGGGTCCCTCAGCCTGGCCTGTGGGGATCCGGCCGAAACCGGCAGTCCAACATCCTCTGAGGGGTCCCATAT